GACAGGTCGGCTCTCGCAGCGGGTTTCCCGCGGGCGCAGGTGTCCCGAGGCTGGTCAGGGTGCAATTGGGAGCTCCTGAACGGAGAGCGCGTCTGCGGTTGCCGATCGGTCGTCGTCTTGCTCTCGCTTGCGTCCGCGAATCTCCAGAGCAGGTTGCATCGGGTACCCGGGTAGAGCTGCGCGTTCTGAGTGATTATTGGGTCTCGGTATTTGCCGTCGAGGAGTGAGTTTCTGCTGCTGCTGCCACCTCGCGCGCGCGCCGGTGGCTGCCCTCTGTCAGTTCGGTCGCCGCGGATCCAGAAGGACTCCGCGACGGCTGCAGCCTGGTCCACGGGCTCCCCCCCGTGCAGCTGATGAGGGAGATGTTGCTGGCCAAGCGCTGGCGCGCGGGCTGATCCACCAATGGGACATGTGCCCATCAGCCGTGAGCGATGCACTCAGTAAATACGGCCCCGACGCATGCCCAAAAGCGGGGGGCAAACCTCTCCCCGCGCTACCGGGCATCCCCGTTTCAACGGCAGAGGGCGCAGCGCGCCCCAGCCCAGAGGAGACGCGGCGGCGCGCAGCCGCCTGGGACGAGGCTGAGCGCAGCTACCACGACCGCCACGCCTCTGCACTGCCACCCCCCTCCCAGGATCCCGACGCCGCTTCCTCCGCTCAGCGCTCAGCCGCCCACTGGAAGCGCAACAGCTAGCGGGGCTCAACGGCGCCCCAACCCACGGGCGGGCGCGCGCCCCGAGCAGACGCCCAGCTCAGTCCAGTCATCAAGGCCCACCAAGGACAGGCGCGCGACACCTGTCCAGCCAACCAGCCCCTGCCCGACACCCACCAAGCCGCCCGCCAGCGGAGGCGATTCGCCCAGTACCCCTTCACTTCCACCCACGCCGCGTGGTGACGAGCCGACCCCAGCCCAGCCCGCCACGCGACCCGCGGCCACCGAGTCCGGCGGGGCACCGCCACCCGTCGGCCCAACGCCTGAACCCCTCGGGAGGGGTGCAGAACACGGCAGCCACGGACAATCAATGCATCCAGTGCGGCGACTACGCGGTCATCAGGGGCGGCTCCCTTCCCCGCGCCAGGTGGTTCAGCACGACGGACTGCAACGAGCCGCTCGCGACGCAGCCCTTGGATGGAGCCGTCTTTGGACCCGTCCTCCGCATCGTCGCCCGAGAGCAGGACGCGCGGGCGCTGCTCGTCCAGATCGGCGGGGAGTGGCTTGAAGTGCGAGGCGTCGGCGACAGGACGCTTCGCGCATGCGTCCTCCGTGGAGACGCAGCGCTCCGCGCGGCTACCTTTCTGGAGAGCGCCCAAGGGAAGGTGCACACAAAGCAAGCAGCAGCAGTCTTCGACGACCCCTCGTGTGGCGTCAGCACCACGGGAGACAAAGCAGCGCGCGCAGAACGCATGCAGGACAGGACCCGACCTGAGCCCTACCCGAAGCAATCCAGCACACAGGACTCCACTTACGAACCTGCACCCCTCATGCCGCCTCAGGAGGAGGACCCTTGCTGGGGCAATGAAGACCAGGCTAAAGAGGAGAAGCTGCGCCTCGCCAAGGCCCTGAGCGAGGTCCACCCCATCTCCTCGTCCTCGGACTCGGGCACAGTTGAAGAGCACCAAGCTAAGACGAGTCCTCAGAGTGAGCGGCACGCCAGTCCCGAGATCGACCCCCGCAGTACCGACCGGAGGGCTGCCCGCGCACCCGCCGAGCCAATCCTGCGCCCCGAGGCCGTGGCCGACGATCGGAACCTGCGCAGGCGGGGCCGCTCCAGGGGCCCCGAGGACCCGCGCCCTGCGCTCGCCCCTCTCTCGGCGCACCCCCAGAGCGCCCGCGCGGCAGGGTGCGGGAACCAGTCGCCTGGGAGCTGCGCACTACGGCGGTGAGGCGCGAGTCCAGAGAGGACGACCGGCCACGCGCAGGAGAGCGAGACGGCGACCGCGACCGCGACCGCAACCTGAGCGCAGCAGGGGCGCCGTGGCGCAGACGCGACGCCAAGGACTGTGGCAGAACTAAGGGGCGCTACTGGAACCAGACCCGCGACACTGGCTGGGGCTCAGGTAGCGCACCCTGGCGCCAGCCAGAATCGCGCAGCTCTCACAACAGGGGCGACCGCAGCCACGCCGACACCGGCCGGACACGCGCCGCGTTCCGCGCTGGATGGCAGCGCCTCCCAAACGAGACAGCAGTAACACACCTGAAGAGGTTGCAGACGGAAGGGCGGTGCCAACTTAACGTAGCCTGGCATCCGCGGTGCAGGCGCAACTACAAGGAGCAGGGCGAGGGCAAATCCAAAGACCAGGCGCCCTTCGACCCGCAACGCTGGCAGCAGTGGATCATCGACAAATTCCTGGATGACATGAGGGCCAACAACTACCACGTGGACCGATGGCCCAGCAGCGCAGGTGCCCACGTGGACTGGGAGCGGGAGCAGAAGCTCTATCAGGAGGTGCAGAGGAAAAGGGAGGTCGCTAAGGGTGACAGGCGCGACGGGGACCAGGCCCGCAGTTCCGGGTGCCACGACGCCTGGACTGGAAAGCGCCCACGGCGCTGACTGTCACCAGCCCTACCACACCCGGCCCGCAGCACCACTGCCTAACCCGCCGGCCTTTCCCACTACCTGCGTCCCCGTCCCCGAACCCCCCCTCTGAGCCAGCTGGGGACCACGTGTCCCTCTTCCCCCCTTTACCTGCTACCCCTCGCCCTTGTGGCGCCCGCTGTCCATGCGCTGGCATTCACCTGTTCACCTGGGCCCCGATCCTCCTCCTCCTCCTCTCCTCCCCTCCCGTATCCAAGGATCTGGGACTCTGTGTCCTACCTGATTGCATCGGCTGATTGAGGTTCTCTGACCTGGGACTCTGTGCCCCCCCCCCTGTGCCCATCGGCTGTTTCCCAAGGATCTGGGACTCTGTGTCCTACCTGTGCCCATCGCCTGAGCGTGATTCGAGGATCTGGGACTCTGTGTCCCCCCTGTACCCACTGGCTCGACATGACTCAAAGAACTGGGACTCTGTGCCCCCCCTGTTCTTACCTGCGACGCAATGGTACGCCAGCGACTTGCGTGACACGCCCGCGCTGGGGCCTCGGGTCTGACCTGTGCGCATTGGGGCGTGTCCCCACGCGGGCACCTCGGTGCGCGCTGGCGGGACTCGGGCTGGCGTGGGACGCGGGCCTCTCCTCTCCTCCCTGTCCGCTTTTTCCCTCCCCGCTCGCTTTCCCCCCCTCCCATGGCGGCAGCGCCCGGCGCAGCGCGGCTCTGGACTGGCGCTGGCACTGCACCTTGCCGCCTCGGCGGCCCCGCTCATCCTGGGCAGCGCGGCTCAGGCCCGGCCCACGGCAGGCGGACACAGTCGGCTTTCACGCCGAACCTCGTGGCTGCTACCTGGACGTAGATTGGACTACCACCCCAGGCCGCTACTGGCCACCCGGTGGCACAACGTTGCATATTGACTTCGTGGTCATCCTCATCTCCCGGGCCTCTCCTTACCAGTCGGTGGCACCTGGTGCATTTCGCCTACCTGGCCCTCCTCTATCTACCTCACGGACGTTGACATGGTCACGGCCCTCCTCACGCAGCACTCGAGGATGGTGTTCCTGGCGCGCCGTTGACGGCAACGCCAACTCACTCTCCCTCTGGGACTTCGCCCCCGGCCTGTACTCTGCACCCCCCGGCCGCTCGAGGCCCTGCCCGCCCGCGCCCTGTCTATCCCCAATCAGTGCTTCGCGCGCCCCGCCTAGCTCTTAACCGGAAGGGGCCCGCTCCCGACCCGCCGACCACACATGGTTTCCAGCGCTTCTTTCAACTTCGGCGACCGTTCGGTTTTTGGCGCCATTTTGGGTTTCAGTGCTCCTGTGGGTTTCGGCGCCCTTCTGGTTTTCGGCGTTGGTCTGGTTCTCGGCGCTCATTTTGGTTTTCGGCGCCTCTTTGTTTTTTGGCGCCCCGCTGGTTTTCGTGTCATTTGTTTTGCTTTCGGCGCCTCTTTGGTTTCCGGCGTTCTTTTGGTATTCGGTGCTCGTTTGGTTTTCGGCTCCCCTCTGGTTGGCGGCGTTTGTTGGTTTGTGGCGCCTCTTTGGTTTTCGGCGCGCCGTTGTTTTTCGGCGCTCCTCTGGTTTTCGGCGCCTCTTTGGTTTTCGGCGCCTTTTCGGTATTCGGTCCTTTCGGTTTTCGGCGTTTGCTCGGTTGTTGGCGCACCTTTGGTTCTTCGGTTGTTCCTTGGTTGTCGGGGCGCCGTTGTTTTTCGGCGCACTCTTGGTCTTCGGCGCCCTTTCCTTTAACCAAAGGGGGCGGGGCTTCCAAGCCCCCCCCTTCCCCCCTTAGCCCAGAAGGGAGGGAGGAGGGTCGGGCAGGGGTTTCGAAGGGAGGGGGGGGGGAGCTGAGCCCCCCCCCTCCCCCTTTGGGGGGAGGGGGGCTCCAGGAGCGCGGAGAGGAGGGGGGGCGGGGCGCAGCTTCCGCGGGGCGGAGGAAAAATGAGAGAGGGTCCGGCAGGTGGGTGCCAAGGGCGGGGGCGGCTAAGGCGCTCTCTCCCGGCTCAGTGCCCGGTCCTGACAGGCTGCCGCGCCGCGCAGGGCGTGCTCGCAAGGCAGCGCCTGAAGTTTTAGACCTGGCAGTGTTGGATATGTTCAGTGGATCGGGCCCACCACGGGGCTGCAGACGTCACTTGATTTGCGTAGTGCCGAAGGGCGAGCGCCCTGAGGACTTGCTTGGCCCGGCGTGTGCCCCTGACGCTCTTCGCCCGTTGTCTTTGAAGAACACAGACGCTGAGGCAGCCGCGGCGGTTGTCAATCTACAGCTTGGAGCCGTGGCGGAGTCCCGCTGTCGCGTGATTCAGAAGGGGATGCTTGCGAAGGCGCCAGCTCACGCCCCGCGCTGTGGAGCTAGATGCGTTGGCGAGGCTGGCTGGTGGTCACGGAGCCGCTGCTGCGCGTTTGCCGCGCTTCCTCTCCTTCGACGCGCGCGCTGCCTTCCCCTCGACGGGGCGGGCTCCGCGGGGGTGGCGCGGGGATGTCCCCCGTCGGCGGCGCGCTGTGGGCGGTCGCCTCCGACGCCTTCCCCCGCCGCCCGTGCGGAGCTCCTGCCCAGCAGACACGCCGGAGGATCGACCCGTGGCGGGTGCGTGCGCTGCTGCTGCGGGGTGGTCCTCCCCGAGCTGCGACCGGCCGCCGCCGGGGCCCCCGCCTCTCGCAGCGGCCCGCGCGCGGGGCGCGCGGGCTCGCCGCGGGAGGCGGAGTGCACTCTGGTGCCTCTGCGGGAGCGGGTCTCGGAGTCGTCGTCTGAGTGGATTCGCGAGGCTCGCCGGTGCTGCCCGGCGTTCTCTCCGCGCCCCAAGTCGTGACGGGGCCGAATCTTCAGGGGCGCGGTTCGGCCCCAGGCCAGCCGTGGGAGTCCCCGACGGCAGAGCTCTCCCTAAGGGTTTGGGCTGCAGCTGCCAAGAGAGCCCCCGCTGAGGCCTCCAGCAGGAGCTGTACCTCGTGTGTCTTCCCCGTTCTCTCTTACCTCGCCCAGTTGTTGTTGCTCCCTTCCAATATCGTTTCGAAGGAGCTCTGGGTCTTCCACAAGTTGATGACCCGCCCCCCTAACACGTTTAGGAGAGCGGCGCCGCTCGGCGTGCAGGGATGGATCCCTGATCGTAGCCCCCAGTCTGTGCAGGTCTTGGCTGAGGCGACTGCCTGGCGTTCGACTCGACTCACATCCGACGGTGCACCGTTGCGGGCGAGAGAGCTTGGCGAGCATGCGATGCTGCACGGGTCTCTTGTCTGATGTGCCAGACAGCTATGGCTATAGAGCCCTCCGTGCCGGTGGCAGCCCCAGGCCATTTCTCATCTCAGCCAGCGCGCTCGAGTCCCACCCCAGCCCAAAACTAGGCGGCGAGGTGCCTCAGAGGGCGGCTGGAGCCGCATCCCGAGAGCTTCCAGGGAGACCGCCGCCGCCCGCCGACGCCCGCGGCCCCCGCGTGTCTGCGCCAGGGCCCCGACCTTTGCCCGCCCCCCCGAGGCAATCCCCGCTCTCCTCGGTCGAAGATCTGGGGCGTTGCTGCCGGAGCGCTCGGGGGTGGACAGACCTCCTACCCAGACACGTCGATTAGCGAATCGGCCGTTTTCAGCGCGCGAGAGGGCGTCGCGGCCGTCATTCTTGCGGGTCCAGGTCCATCGGTTTCGGTCCCAGGCCGTTTTCACTAAAGGGAGGTTTATTAAAGGGAGGCTTGTTTACCGCTGAAGCGTGCCCCCCTGCCCCAGGCGGTGATGGCCCGTCGATGGGCCGCTTTTTGCGCCTTCTTCGGGCGCGTTCCCCGCCCTCCTGGGCGTGGGCACGTCTCAAAGCTCTGAGCGGGGGGTGGGCGACCTCTGGGAGAGTGCCCGCTTCGGGCCAGCGTCAGTCTCTGTTTGGCCTGTGAGGGTGGGCTCGACAGGTGGCCTCCTCCTCCTCCTCCTCCTCCTCCGCCTCCTCCTCCTCCTCCTCTCCTCCTCCTCCTCCTCCTCCCTCCTCCTCCTCCTCCTCCTCCTCCTCCTCCTCCTCCTCCTCCTCCTCCTCCTCCTCCTCCTCCTCCTCCTCCCCCCCTCCTCTTCTGCCTCCTCCTCCTCCTCCTCCTCCTCCTCGTCTTCCTCACCCGTTCCCTTTTTCCCCGTCTGTCCCCGAACTCGGCTTGGTCTCGGCGAGGAGGAGAATTATGAGGCCGAGTTTGCCCGTTTTGATGCCCATCTCGCATCTCTCTGCCTTAGCTCTCCACTTCTGCAGTAACTCAAGGCCGAGTGCGAACTCTCGCCGACGCGTGCAGCTGGCCTGGGAGCCCAGATGCGGCTTCTGCGCGCTGCCGTGCTGGCCATCGGCGTCAGCGGCTCAGCTGGTCACGGAGCTTCCGAGCTACGTGCGCTCCTCGTCCTCCTCCTCCTCCTCCTCCTGCTCCGCCTCTTTCTCCTCCTCCTCCTCCTCCTCCTCCTCCTCCTCATCCTCATCCTCATCATCATCATCATCATCATCATCATCATCAATCATCATCATCATCATCATCATCATCATCATCATCATCATCATCATCATCATCCTTTTCCTGCTCCGCCTCCTCCTCCCTCCTCCTCCTCCTCCTCCTCCTCCTCCTCCTCCTCAAACCTCATCCTCCACCCCTGGAGCACGGAGCATGCCCGGCGCCCGTCCCTGCCCCCCCCCGAGGTGCAGCAGGACCGCCTGCGCGAGGCCCTCCTGCCCGCGGGCGAGCCCGGCGCCGGCAAGGCGTCCGGCCAGGCGGCTGCCCTGCCGGCTCCTGGCCTGCCGACCGCAGCCGCCGTGTTTTTTTTTGTGTTTTGTTTTTTGTTGTTTGCATTATTTTTTATTGCGTAATATATATATATGTATGTATATATATATATATATGTATACATATATATATACACCTGTATATATATATATATATATATATATAAAAACGACCGCCGCCGCCGCCGCCGTCGCCGCATGTCTGCCTGCCCTCGGCCCATCCCGCTGCCGATCGGCCACGCGCAGAGCCGGAGCGGATCGCGTCGCAGCAAACATCGGTGGCGGGAGGCTTCTGGCCATGTTCGGCCCCGGGGGGCCCTCGCCGGGCCTCGGGACCGTCAAAAAGCGGCTCGGGACGAAAAACCGGTCCCGCGGAAAGGGTCGGGACTTCCAGGGAGGCCGTCTTGCAAAAGTCAGGACGTCGCATGTCTGGGGAGCGGGAGGGGGGGAGGGGGCAGGCGGGAAGGCTTTTTTGAAGCACCGCTGCTTCGGGTCCTAGAAGGCGCGGGCTTTCGTCTGCAGATGCAGGGCTGGCGCCTTGTAAGGAGCGGCCTCTGAGAAGCCTTCCCCCTCCCCCCTTACTCTACTCTGCGCGCCGCCAGGCCGCGCCTGAGTCGTAGGTCAGAGGCCCCATCGGGGGCGTCTTGGCCCGTCTTGGGGCGCTCGTGGCTCCGAAAGGCCCAGACCCCCGACGTTGTGATTTTTCCCCACCGTCGACCCCCAGAGGTCTGGGGACCCCTTCCCCGGGACTGGCTCCTCATCCCGAGTCGTTTGTTGACGGTCCCGAGGCGCCTGGTGAAGGGCCCCTCGAGGCCGAAAGCAGCGAAGCACCTCCCGTCGTGACTTTTTTCACAACGCGAGGCGGTCTCTTGGGAGCAGGGCCGCGGGGAGGAAGAGGCAGGCAGGCGAGGAGGACACCCAAACCCAGACACCCAGACCCCCGACGTCATGATTTTTTCATGACGCGACCCCCAAAGGTCCAGACCCATTCCCCGGGACCAGTTTTTCATCCTGAGTCATTTTTTGACGGTCCCGAGGAGCGGTAAGGGCCCTCAGAGGCCGAAAATAGCGAAAAACCTCCCGTCGTGATTTTTTCATGACTCGAGGAGGTCTGGGAAACAGGCACCCCCGGAGAGGGCTGCGCGCAGCGCGGCCTGCAGGAGGAGGAGGAGCCCGACGCGTGCGCGGCCTGCCGCGCTGGCAAGCGCGAGGCGCGCCTCGCCCGGCGCCGTGTGCCATCGCGGGGAGGCGCCGGGGAACCGCGGGAGGCACGCCAGGTGCCCTGGCAGCCCCCGATCCCTTTCGTGTTGAGACGAGGGGTGCTCGGCTGGACGGGCGGTTGCAGGACTACCTTCGTCAACCGTCAGCAGCAGCAGCAGCAGCAGCAGGGCCCCCGGGAATTTTGCGGTGTTGGGCCTTCGCTCCTTCACTTCCAGCCTTGAAGCTGGAGGACTACAGAGGACTGGAGCGATGGGCCTGTTTTCTAGCACCACCACCACCATCATAGGTTGGAGGGGGAGGGAGTCCTCCTCCTCCTCCTCCTCCTCCTCCTCCTCCTCCTGTTCGTCCTCCTCCTTCCCCCCTCCAACTTGTAGTGGTGGTGGTGGAGGGCACGCCAAAGCGTGCCTCGCGGCACGATGGCGGAGTCGCTTCCAGAGAATAAATTGTTGCACGACGGAAGAGAGCGGGGTCGACGGCGCGGACCGTCGCGCGCGCAGTCCTGAACCGCCGGAGTGCCGGGAGGAGGCAAGTGCCAAAATCCGTCAAAGACCTAAGGAAATTCCTGGAGGAGGAGGAGGAGGAGGAGGAGGCGCAGGAGGAGGCGGAGGAGGAGGAGGAGGAGGAGGAGGAGGAGGAGGAGGAGGAGGAGGGCCTCTTGGAGACTTCTTGGGTCGTGTTGGGCCGTCTTGGAGGCTTCTCGGGCGCCCTTGGAGGTATCTCGGACTCTCTTGGGCCGTGTCGGAGGCCGTCTTGGACCATCTTGGGCGGACTTGGAGGCCATGTTGGACCATCTTGGGGGCCATCTTGGGCCAAACGTGGCCATCTTGGAGGCCATCTTGAGCCGTCTTGGAGGATTTTTTCTGGGATTGAGCTCCTGAGTAATCCTCCCGGCACCCCGGCGGGACGGGCCGAAGCCCCAGGGGGAGTTCTTTAGGACAAGAACCAAAACCAAAACCGAAATCGTATAGCACGCCGGGCACCCCTCTTGCAAGCAACAGAGGGCGGCGGATCGAAGACGCCTACGGCGAATCACCGCCGCCCCCTGCCTTTTGAGAAGTGCCTATGTGGCCGAAGGTTGTGGCCAGAGGCCTGCCAAGCTATCGGACCATGTATTCCCCGAATCGTTTTTTTTCGAAAGCCTTCGGGGAACACGTGGGCATCTTGAAGGTCCTCTTGGCCTTTCGGGCCTTCTTGGAGAACGTCTTGGAGGGCTCTTGGGCCGTCTTGGAGGCCATCTTGAGCGTCTTGGAGGCCTCTTGGGCCGTCTTGGGGGCCTCTTGGGGCCGTCTTGGGCCTCCTGGGCGATCTTTGGGGGCACTTGGGTCGTCTCGGGCCGTCGGGAGGCCGAACAAAAAGCAAATGCCACAATCCTTCAAAAACTCATGGGACATCAATCATTTTGGCCTTTTCGGGCCTTCCTGGAGGCCCTCTTGGAAGCCTCTTGGGCCGTCGTGGGCCATCTTAGTGCCATCTTCGGCCGTCTTGGTGGGCCCCTGGCCCGTTCGACGCCGTCGAAAGCCGTTTGAGGGGCCTCTCTGAGCCGACTTAGGGCCCTCTTGGGATGACCCAGGGCCGTCTTGGATGCCATCTTGGGCGTCTTACAAGGCCTCCTGGCCGTCTTGGGGGCCTCTTGGGGCCGTCTTGGGGGCCTCTAGGGCCGTTCTGGGGCCATCTTGGAGGCCTCTTGGGCGATCTTTGGGGGCTCTTGGGGCGTATCGGGCCGTCGGAAGGCCGAAACGAAGCAAATGTCAAAATCCTTCAACAACCTATGGGGCAATCCGTATGTTTTGCCTTTTTCTGGCCTTCCTGGAGGCCCTCTTGGAGGCCTCTTGGGCCGTCTTGGGCCAGCTTCGAGCCAACTTCGGCCATCTTGGTGGGCTCCTGGCCCGTCTGACGCCCTCGGAAGCCGTTCGGGGAGCCTTTCTGGGGCGACTTGGGGCCCTCTTGGGGTGCTCCAGGGCCGTCTTAGAGGCCATCTTGGGCGTGTTGGAGGCCTCCTGGGTCGTCTTTGTGCCCTCTTGGGCCGTCTTGGGGGCCTCTTGGTCAGTCCTGAGGCCATCTTGGAGGCCTCTTGGGCGCTGTGGGAGCGATCTTGGGGGCCTCTTGGGCCGTCTTGGGTCGTCAGAAAGCCGAGACGAAGCGAATGCCAAAATCCGTCAGAAAACTATGGGAAATCAATGATTTGGGCCTCTTTGGGCCCTCCTGGAGGACCTCTTGGAGGCCTCTTGGTCCGTCTTGGAAGCCTCTGGGGGGCCTCTTGGGCCGTCTTGGACTCTCTTAGGCCGTCCTGGAGGCCGTCTTGGACCATCTTGGGCGGACTTGGAGGCCATCTTGGACCATCTTGGAGGCCATCTTGGGCCAACATGGCCATCTTGGAGGCCATCTTGGGCCATCTTGGAGCCGTCTGGGGCAGGAAACCCACGGCAACCACCTCCGGAAGAGCTTCCCGGGACCCCGGCGGGACGCGCCGAAGGCCCAGGGGGAGTTCTTTTGGAAAAAGAACCAAAACCAAAACCGAGAGGGTCTAGCACGCCAGGCACCCCTGCGATGAATCGACAGGGGGTGGCGGATCGAATGGCTCTCGGCCCATCCTGCCACCGTGCCTGGGTTGTGGGTCATAGGCCTCTCGGATTTTCTTTGGGGTGTCACGGGTGGCGGCTCGGGGGCCTCTTGGGGGCCGTTTTGAAGCTTCTCGGGGGCCGTGTTGGGGCTTGTTGTGGCGTCTTCGGGGCTTCTTGGAGGTCATTTGGGGCCTCCTTGGGGCCTCCTGGGGGACTCCTTCGGGCGGAAGAATCGGATTTTCGGTTCGTGTTCCCCGTCTTGGGCCATTCATTGGGCAGTCTTTGGGCTCTCTTGGGCCGTCTTGGGCGCCTCTGGGGCCGTCTCGGAACCCTCCTGGGCCGTGCTGGGGCCCTCCTGGGGGCCTCTTGGGTCCTCTTGGGCGGTCCTGGGGCCTCTTGGGCCGTCTTCGAGCGCTGGGAGCTCGAACGGTCGAGGACCCCAAATCCTTGACTTTGCCCTGCGGCGAACCCAGCCATTCTTGCAGTTGCGAGTACCGCAGCTGTGGGTATCGTCTTCCGTGGAGCTCCCTCTGGGGCCACGACACGCTGCACTGGGCGGGGGATACGCATGCAAACTGCGCCACTGGGTCCTTCGGTGGAGCTCCCTCTGGGGCCACGACACGCTGTACCAGGTGGGGGAACTGCATGCGGGCTGCGCCACTGGGACCTTCGGTGGAGCTCCCTCCGGGGCCACGAAACGCTGTACTGGGCGGGGAACCCCATGCGGACTGCGCCACTGGGACCTTCGATGGAGCTCCCTCTTGGGCCACGACACGCTGCACTGGATTGGGGAACCGCATGCGAGCTGCACCACTGGGACCTTCGGTGGAGCTCCCTCTGGGCCCACGAGGCGTTGTACTGGGCGGGGGAACCGCATGCGGACTGCGCCTCTGGAACCTTCGGTGGAGCTGGGTGGGGGAACTGCATGCGGACTGCGCCACTTGGACCTTCGGTGGAGCTCCCTCTGGGGCCACGAAATGCTGTACTGGGTGTGGGAACCGCATGCGGACTGCGCCACTTGGGACCTTCGGTGGAGCTCCCACTGGGGCCACGAACTGGGTGGGGGAGACAGAGGCAGGGATGGGAGGAGGGAAGAGGAGGGAGGAGGAGAGGAGGAGAGGTGGGACGCGTGGCGCTGTTTCTGCAAAACGAGGACCGAACACCACAGGATGGTTTGGAAAAACGAATGGAATATCAGTGATTCTGCCCTCTCGGGAAGGCTCTTGGGGCTCTCGGGGGGCGTCTTGGAGGCCTCTTGGGCCATCTTGAGGTCATCTCGGGCGTCTCGGGGCGGTCTCTGGACATCTCGGGGCCGTCTTGAGGGCCGCGGCAGGCCCTTTTGGCCCGTCCTGGGCCCCGCTTGGGCCCGAGAGAATTCTGCGGGAAGAGGCTGGGAAAACCCGGGAGATTTGACAATTTGGGGCCCGGGCCCCTGGAAGACTCTTCAGGGGTAGGGGCTGAGGTTTAGAGGATTGGGCAAAGGACCCGAGGACACGCCCGCTCTGTGCCCAGCGGCCCGGTGGCCGATGGTGATGCTGTCGGTCATTATGACGACGACAGCGACGGCGATGCTGATGTTGCCGATGATGGTGGTGATGATGATGATGCTGCTGCGAGGAGGAGGATGACCAGTGCAAGAACTTGGACGAGGAAGAAGAGAAGTGATGAGGGGAAGCGAATGCGTGTGTGGAGCACCCGGAGGAGCAAGAGGAGGATGAGCGAGCTGTGAAGGCTGTGAAGGGATGAAGCGGAGCAGGATGAGGAGGAGGAGGAGGAGAAGGAGGAGGCGGAGCAGGAGGAGGAGCAGGAGGAGGAGCAGCAGGAGGAGGAGGAGGAGGACGAGGAGGGTGAGGAGAAAACGATGACGCGAAGGCGGACGGCGACGGCGCGCGGCGGCGACGACGAGGAAGACAAGCCCCGTGGCCCGCGACGCCCTCCCCCTCCCCTCAGGGCCTGGATCTTGCCCACAGCGTCTTCCACCCGCGCCACCCCGGCTACGACCACTTCGTCCGGCTGCTCCCGGGGGCGTGCCAGGAGACCTCGCCCTGCCCCACCCTGCGCAGTGGGCGTCGCCGTCGCCGTCGGCCTCCCCTTCGTCCTCCTCCTCGCCCTCGCACTCGTCGTCGCTGTCGTCGTCCCCTCCTCGTCCTCGTTCTCCTCGCCCCTGTCCCCCTCGTCCTCGTGCCCCCCCTCCACCTCCTCCTTGCTGGAGGAGGTGATGCTGGAGGTGCCGACGGCTGGAGCGGAAGGTGGGGGCCTGCGGTTCGATCTTCGGAGGCCTGTCGCAAACAACAGGGATCGTATCAATCAGGCAGCTTCGGGCGATGCACTCTTTTGTGGTAAGGAACTCTGCCTTGGCGTGTCGCGCCGCTGGTTCTGGCCCACCGCGGTGCGGCACGACACTGCCAACGGCCAGGTCCCCGTGCGTCAACGTCCCGAGCCTTTCCCAGCCTCCCGCCCCGCTGCGCGGAGCGACGCGCTATCCGCTCGCAGGGCATGCGTGCAGCGGAGGCCCATGCCACGAAACGCCCTGCTTGCCTCCGGGGTGCCCTGGGTTCCTTGGGTTGCGATGGTTTCGCTATGGATGGAAAGCGTGACGTTCCCACACCAAAACCCATGGACGTCCTGGAGCCTCGGGTATGGGCCTCTGGCGGACAGTTTCTTGTGGGCGGCCCTTCACTGCAGCAGAGCGCAGGGGCCGCCGCCGCGGCACGCCGTGCGCGGGTCCATCCTCCTCCTCCTCCTCCTCCTCCTCCTCCTCCTCCTCCTCCTCGATCCTCGATCCTCCTCCTCCTCCTCCTCCTCCTCCTCCTCCTCCTCCGTAGAAACCTCCAGACACGCCTCGCACTCCCAGGGGGGCGACGGAAACGGGCGCCAACGAGCGGCCCCGACCCCTTTTCTCGCGAGGGCCCTGCTTCGGCGTCTGGAGCAGCTCAACGCCGGCAGTCTTTCGGCCAGGCCACACGGCGGCAACAAGTCGCATGCAAGCGTGGCAGCAGCCCTGGACGATTGGATGACACGATCGAGCCACTGGATTTCTTTTGCCGTTGGCTGCGGGTGGCGGGTAAGGGAGTTCTCAGCAATTGCGTCGACAAGGTCGTTCCCTCTGGTTTTGCAGCACTGCGAACCGGTCAGCTCGGGGGAATCAGCAACATGGGCCTCCACCTTACAGATTCAGCCCATCATTTTCCCTGTTGGGAGGCAGCAGTCAGCATGCGCCCGCTCCTAGTACACTGCTCGCGTGAGCGACGCGTTGGCATGGATCAACTACGTGCTTACAGTTTGAGTGACTCGAGTCTTTCTCAGGCGCCCACGGCGGCAGCGGCGTAAACCCAGAATTTTTCAGCCCGCCCCGTCTAATTCGGGATGCGGGGCCCACGTAGGGCAGCGAAACCTAGCGATCTGATTGTCTTCGCTGTGGGGGATGGAGCCCGCACATAGGATAAGGAAATCTAGCGATACCGCCGCGGCAGAGGAGGACAAGGAGGATGAGGCGGAGGAGGAGGAGGAGAAGGAGAAGAAGGAGGAGTAGAAGGGGCGGAGGAGGAGGACCAGTGTCAACCCAAACCGCACCAAGGATGCTGCAATAAACACTCCCTCCAAGTTCCCTCGTCGCAGGGCCATACAAGAATTTATTTCCATTGCGGGTAGTGCCCCGGTGGAAGACGGCCCTCTGAGAATCTTCAATCGTGCCAAAACGCAAGTCCTGTGACTTCGGTGTCGCGAATCAACGCGAGTCTTGCGTCCTGACACTACATTTGTCCGAACACAAACCCGAGGATTCCTCGAATCGGCGAGACCGTCGCGTCCTGACAATCCTCAATCTTGCCAGAAAGCCATTCCTGGGATTTCGACCGTGCGAATCCTTGGACCTGTGGGAGACTTTCAAAACGAGTGCACGCTGCGCTAAGGCGAGAGTCACAGTCGTGGGGCGCTCCGTTTAACTGCGCCGCAGTCGTGATGCGCCCCTTTTCCTCCGCATTGGCAGGCGCCAAACGGAATACGGCTTCTCGGCTCGATCTCGTCATTTGAAGTTGTTAATACGTATTAGACGAATGTGCGCGGCGCTGAGGCGAGCACAACATTTTGAACGCCTTCCGCCTCCACGTATGGAATTGCTGCAAAGTTTAAGGCGAATGCGCGCGGCGCTGAGGCGGCAGTTACAGCATGGTAAGAACACGACCTCCATCATTGAAGTTGCTGCACAGTTTTAACACGAAGGTGCGCGACGCAAAGGTGACAGGCCCACGTCGAAACTGGTCCGCCCTGCATCTTTGAAACTGTTGCAATGTTTGAAGACGAGTGTGTGCGGCGTTCAGGCGAGAGCCACATTTGTGAAAACACCCACCCCATCCGCAATTTGCAAGCTTCAGGATCATAAGTGGGGGGATCTCTCAGGCGAAACGCGTTTGGGGGTGCGGGGGG